GTACGATCTTTCTAGGTAATATCTCTTTTAGTGTCCTTAGTAAGTGTGCTAGGCATTGTTTGCCTATTAGACTATCGCACCACAGCCCTAATATCCTTCTCGAATACTTTCTCCGATGGACAATGACAGGCGAGATATTACTGAAATATGCTTTTTGCGACATTGATTAATGCAACGTTTCAGTTTCGTATACGCGACTAAAAAAATATGTGTTTGTCACCTTGTGCATCTTAGGATTTAGTACAGTAAGGGGTATTATTGCAGTTGTTGTCCTTACGTCTACAATTATAGTTATTATTTTGATTCATAAGCTGACTGTGAACATAATAGTTTTGTAGCGAACATCTTTATTCAATAAATGAATAAATACCGTATACCTCAGGGAATCATATGAGAAGCTCTTGCTGAAGTTGAGCTGTGTTCTGCTGTGCGCAATTGAAAGTCGGACAGATCGAGTTATTCAACTGTTTTCAAGCTTTTTTGAATGAATTTATATTATTCATACGTCAGAGCTCTTACGTATAGGATTAAGTAAAGATTTGCTAGATTGTATTCGCGATTCGCATGGGAAATTTCCTTTGCTCTACAAAACTTAAGTGAAACGTTTCGTTGAACTAATTTCCTATAGCAGAAATCTCAGAATATTTGAAAGTTTGTTACACAAAAGCAGCTCTAAATACAAAGTGCTATGTAGTGAATAGGATTTGAGCGTAGCACTAATAACTTGGTATAATGTTGCTTAAAAAAGTGTGTGTGTGTGTATCTCTTACATACTTACACGCTACATGAATGCCTTGATAAGCATGGTATAGGCATAGGTATATATGTGATATATGATTTGTATGAATGTCTACGTACAGTATCCCAATTCATTATGAATAAATGATTATATGATTATTTCTTCCCATATTATCAATAAGATAAAAAAAAAAGTTAATCTCCTCTCTAATATATTAAAACTAATTTCATAGAAAACGGGAATGAATATCTTTGAATTAATAAATTCTACCCATTTTGGTGCACAATTGTTGGTAATAAAAAGAAATGTTTGTATCAAATTTCTGTTGTTCATTTCAATTTTTGTAAACTTGAATATATGAATAAATGTATACATATATATATATATATATATATAGATGTGCATGTATATATATGAATATAAATGTAATAACAAAATTAATGAGAAAATTTAACACACAAAACTTACGTAAATTGAGGATTAAGTGCGTATGACATTATGACAATTATGTGAATGTCATTGGTTCATGTTATGATGTTGTTAATGCATATGTCCACATGTATAAATAACACCGATATATAGTTCACGTACCGTACATATATGTGACGTGTTTACGGAAATGAGAAAACGAGACACACACACGAAATAATGAATAATGAGATTTTCAAGTAAAAGATGTGTAATTTGTATTATTACACAACACAATATAATGGCAAAGCAAAACAAAACCCATGCACACAATACTTACGTTTAGCTACACAAGCCCAAGATGTATGCGCTTATGGGTTTGTGTGTACATACAAACTACACAAATTGAGAATAAATTCTATATTAGAGCAAGCACTTTATACAGAAAGAGAAACATGATGATGATCATGATGATGATGATGATGATGATGATGATGATGATGATGATGATGATGATAATGATAATGACGAGGATGATGTAGTTCAGTATGTTGCTTGTTTGTTTGTGTATTCGCAAATGCATTAAATATTGTACTTTGAACGTTTATATTCCTTTCTGCTTGTAAGTATGTCTATACCAATGTATACACACTCATATATCTACGGAACATATACATATATATATATACATATATATGTATGTATATATTCATATTTGGGCGTACATTGTTCATAAAGAACAATTTGCATTGCATGCAATTTCCGTTTTGTGAATTTTATTTTCATTTTAATGTATTTCAATGCAATTGAATTGAATTCAGTCGAAGTAAATGATGCTGTACTGCAATCTAATTTAACATATGCCAGAATATTTTTTTTTGGCTTTTTTGATTTTTATCAAATAAGTGATGAGGGGAGAGGGGAGTTTTTCTTGTGTGCCTATGTTGCTTACATGTTTTATGGGAACGAGAAAGATGCCCAACCGTGTGCGCGTTGTGCTGTGTTGAAAATTGAAATTTTCTCTTACATCTTTGCACGATATTTGCTCGTTTTGTCATTCGATTGCATGCTGCTATGTAAATGTATCTAACTGTCAATGAAAACATTCTTTTATACGCTGTTAAATTAAATATTTATTTAGAAAATTTAATTGGCGAACATTATGCCGAACAACATTATTACTTAATTTTTTATTTATATGTTTCAATAGAGTTACTTGTCATCATCAATATACATATACATATATATATATATATGTATATATATGCTTTTATATTTCATTGATATTGTTTAGAGGAGTAAGTTTCACACTATCAATTCCATGCTATTATCCATGACTATGTAAGCACTATGAGGTCGCTTTAATGGCCATATTGTAGCTGCAAATAAATTGGTATGAAAAAAAAAAAATAAATAAAAGAAAAAAACAAAACAGATAAAATTAATTAAACTTCCACAACAACAGTTTTCTTTTTCCGTTAGAGTTTTATTTCGATATTTATTTTATATATATTTTTAAGATTTACTTTAAAGTTTTGTTAATTTTTTTATTACATTTTTTTTTGCATTTTCATTTTTCAATATATATCTACATATATAGGTGATTGTTTGTTTGTCTGTTTGTTGGGTGTATGGCAGTTATACGATTATTTAAAGTGTAGTTCTTTCATTTAGCGATACTTTCTCTAAAAATTTCTTTTTTTTCATTCGTTTAAATATCATATCCTTTTTACAGTTAACAGCCTTATTAAAAAAAAAAAGAAATTTTTTTTTCAATAATTTATTTACTTTCTAAATAGGTTTTTAAGTTTTTTTTTTTTTAATTGTGTTTTCTTAACTTTCCATATTTCATTCAGAGATTATTCCTGCTTTCTTTTCATTTTGTGTAGAGATTTATTTTATATATTTTATATATTTTATACCCACCATCCAGAATTTTGAAAGTTTGTGTAAATGTTATTGTGTTTACTATGTTCTTAATGTTTCCAAACACTTATCTATCGTATTCGTCTTTAGTTAACCATGAGATTGTGAAACGATTTAATCATACTTGTCTATCCTTCTGTACGTCCATTTCCTTGTCGACGGCTTCGATGGTGCAGTCAAGAATTTATAGGCATAGACATATGTAATAGTAGTAATTTAACGACTTTATTTAATTAGGTTCCGCTTTTGTTGGTGAAAATAATATGACAGGAAATCTTGTATGACATTCTTTGTTTTCATCTATCTAAGCAATGAAGCAGTCTGCTCTCCTAATTTCTACTGAGTGTAATGCCGAATCCTTCGAGTATTCTACGAGCATTAGAGAACCCTGGTAGTGGACAGTTGCGAATACCACGCCAAGGTTCGCATGTTTATATCTCAGTGTTCCTTTTTCCCCGTTTCTATCTGACCACCATAGTGTTGCGCGTATAGAGGCTATTATCCGAGTAACTGAACATGCTAACAAAACCGAATATATATTCTGGGATTCATCGTTTAGGGTGGTTGTGTTAAAGGTTCACTTAAAAGGAGAATGTCTGGCTTTTTAACCAACACAATCCACTTTTTAAGGATGTGTTCTTGAGCTTTTAAAAACAACAAAAAAAAAAATTCAAATTTTACATATACATATACGTATACATATACATATAGAATACAATACAAATTATTATATAAAATACAAGGCTATCTGAAAACTTCAAAAAGTTCGAAACAGCGCTTAAACGCATTCACTCGCAAGCCTTAGCAATTTGGATTTAAGTCACAGGAGGTTCTTACGTGTCCTATTATTTCTTAGATTCTTAGATTCACAGTTCTGACTTCCTTTTTTTTCTTTAGATCGAAAACTTTTAGTTGAAAAAGTGAAAATTGATTCCGTAGCAATGTACTAACGCGCGCTTAACTCGCATTCAGCGACAATATATGGGGTTTACGTAAATCTTAATGAACTCATTTACGCACGTTCGTGTGTGCATTCATTTGAAAACACTCCCACAAGATACGACATTATCAATGTTATAACGTGCTCTGCAATATAGTGGTCGCTCCACGTCAAAGTCCCTTTGGGCTTTACATTATATTTTATGTGATTTTGGCAGAGTGTATTCAATGTGGCTTATGTAGAACTGTGCACGAAAATACACCCTTTGTAAAAAACGCAAGTCTTCATGGCTAATAACACGTGCAGCATATTGCAATCCTCTCTTGTGTTGCGAAACAATCACTTAGCAGTCCTGTTGACAATAACTAAGGCTATTAACTCGAATACTGGAAGAAAACATAGGCAATGTAAACTAGAAGCTCAACTATATTGACCAGGCATTGCTTCTTCGGATTACTATTAATTTTGAAGAATGTCTCAAAAGCCGATTTCAGCATCTATTCAGCTTCTTCCTTTGGGATGCACTCAAATAAACCCTCCTTCCGTAGATAGTGTCCAAGGCTGTTCTTTCGAGGCAGCATTCATAGGCTATAAAAAGATGGGCTGGCAATGCAGAATATTCTGATTGGCCAACATGTCTTTCACAATACATCCCAATTTGTATCAAAAAATGAAGTCAAATTAAGGCAAATTTGCAATAATTAAGAAAAATCTTTCGAGATTTATTTAATGATTTTTTTTCCCATCGGGTGGACGTCTCATGAAATTCGCCTTAACGCGAATAGAATTTGGTTTTTTTTTTTGCAAAGTATTCGATAGTTTTCCTCTCTCGACAACAGTTCCATATTCTTTAAAAAAAAAAGCTAATACATTACTCTTCTATTAGTAGTTCGCTGCTCTAGTTTAGTCTCTACTTAAGTTCATTAGCTTCCGCTGTATTCATTATTTATTCAATTGTCCATTTTTTTCTTTTTTCTTTTTTTTTTTTTTTTTTTTGCTATAAATATATAAATTACGAGTCTATCTGAATTATTTACAAGTCATTATTCACAATTTTTCCTTTTTGTGTACGAAACTGGGCAAGAAATTTTTATTGCTTAAAGTTGGCTTCAAACGCCATTAGAATAATGGCTAAGATATGCTTAAATAATGCAATCAATAACTTTCGAATGCTTTAGGTTTTTTTTTTTTTACGTTTTTCGTTCTTTAATTTTCCGGTATGCTACGATTTGGTAAAGGTAAGGAAGAAATAGCAATTCAGTTATGATTCCAGATTGCGAGCTTTGCAAATTGAAAAATATTTCTTTTGCGTTAGATCACTGTCTTATTCGTTGTAATTGGAAATTTGTTTGATTTTCGTATTCGTCTCGTGAATTTATAAAAGCAATCTATTTCTGAAGCAAATATTAAACTTGGGCCCTTTCTTCGCTTAACTGAGAACATGATGCGCACTGTGTTTACTTACAAACAAAAACAATAAAAAAAATCTTTTTATTTATCTTTTAACCACAACAAGAAAGATCACATTCATAACTGTACATAGTTATACAATATATTTGCTTTATATGTGAGTATAGTTTTGTATGTATTTAGTTAGTTATCTATAGAATATATAGAAAATTCTATTGAATTTACTATACCTATATCATCTTCACTCCTTTCATTTACTCCTAACGATTTCGATTTTCTTATTCCATCATTTTGCTCGCACTAAATCAATAGACTGTGCTATCAACCGACGTGCTTTTTTTTTGTTGTTTTGTTCGCATTATTTATAATAGTGTTTGTGAAGTTACACATGAGCACTAGAGCTGAAACTACTGAAATACTTATTACTATGACTTGACGCGGGATTATCACTAGCGGTGGTGACATTATTGAGTACTGAGCTATTGGTGTGATTATTATGACTACTACTATGATGACTATTGTGAATACTGCTAGAGGGAGCGGTGGTGGTGTTTGAATTATAGGAATTTGTTTGGTTTATGGTTTGATTATGATTGGGAGAGGGTTGTAGTATTAAAAGCGGCTTGTCACCTGCAGCATGAGAATAGGAGGGAGGTGCTTGCTGTTGCTGTTGCTGCTGATCTCTAAACGCTTGATAAGCATCTGAAGATACGGTCGACCAAGTGCCATCCTTGGATTTTATATATAAATGTTGTTTGCTGGGTAGCTTATTACCGAAATGATAATCGCTGGTAGCTATGGAAGAACTAGACGCCCAATCGTTTAACAATTGATTGGTAGAGTTACTACTAAAACCGGTAAAGTCATTGTCATTATTCGCCGAGCTACTATCGTTGTGTGTATTAGTTAGAAAATCCAAGTGCGAAACAGTATTGTGGCTGTTGTGGTTGTTTGTACGGCTTTGGTTTGCAGTAGGCCCCGTTTGCGATTTATTGTTGTATAAACTGCCAAAGTTGATGTTGTTCTCACTTTTGAACATCTTGGGATTACGAGGACGTTTCAATGTGCCAACACCACCACCAGTGATCATTTGTGCAGCCAATGTCGTGTTGGCATAAGCACCAAGACCCTGTTTTAAAACATTACTAGCTACCAAGAGTTGCTGGTGTTGTTGCTGCCGCTGACTTTGCATGCTATTGCTATTAAAGGGATTGAGACGTGTCGGCACTAAGGGCTCATTATTCATCAGGTCAAAACGGTTTTCGGTAATGTTAATTTTCTGGCTACCATTGCCTTTTAAATTTTTTGTTGTTTTTTTCCCATACGTCGCTTTTGCTGGCGAAACACTCAATATTGCCGTCGAGGCTGTGCTGGCTGTCATTTTATCGGGCAGTGTTAACATACTGTTGCTAAAGGGATTACTTTCGTGCACTGCACCTGCAGCATCGCTTATTATTCCTATTTCATTGCTAGTGCTTTCAACACCCGCAGCATAATGATGACTGGGTGGTGCTGAATACATACCCGATGAAATGCTGTCCGACGTTGTTGTTGTCGTTATTGTGGAACGATAATCATCGTTGACATAGCTGTTATGAAGTGTTAGCGAATTTTTCTGTTGGCCAAAACTTCCAATACTACCACCACCTGCTCCTCCAAGCTCTCTAGCATTATTCCTGATATTATCCGCATTCGCTATTGTTGTTGTTGGTATTGCCGTGTTACTCATTGTCGTATTATTTACATTTCCTGTTGTCGATGTTGTTGTCGCTGCCGACGACGATAATGATGATGTAGATGCTACTGTTGTTGCAGATGCTGATACTGTTGTCGCATAACGATTTTGGTACAGTTTTGCATTTGCCACAAGATTTGTTGTTGCATATGCGCCACAGCTATCATAGAGTGAGGCATTATTGTTTGAGGTTTGTTGCACAGCATCATATGCACTTTCGTTTGTCGTTGCCAGCCCATTTACATTTGACGCTGCCGTCGTCACACCGCCATTGCTGCCATTCGAACTATTGGGATTTTTAAATGTTGAGCATGCAACTTCCGCATAATCAGGCATGTTAAGTGGAGTTAATCTGCACAATAAAATAGTAAAAAAAAAAAAGGGAAAATAGCAAAAAGAGGTTAGCGGTTATGTTAAAATCATTATTTTAATATGTCTAGGGAACCGTTATCGTATCATTATTAGTCTAAAATGTTTCCAATATTTTTAAAATCATGTCTAGTATTTTATTTTCATAAAAAAACAAATTCCACATTTTACTTTACTTCATTGTACTCAATTCTTTCTAGCTTTTATAGTATATTGCTTATCTCTCTTTACCAATTTGAAAAAAAAAACTCTTGAAAATTTAACACTTCTTGCAGTATTACGAGTATACTCAAAAACCAGGTGAAGTAAAACAAATGGCAGAGCAGTAGCGAGGCGAATGAGTTTAAAGGAATATTTATCACCACACCATCATAAGCAATAGTAAGAAATAGTTTCTTCTTCTTGACGCGGGCAATTAATTATAGAAATTATATAACGAAAAATTTCAACCACAAAACTTAATAATGATAAGACAAACAAAAGAATTTTCTCGAAAATGTACTCAAAATTCTATGAGAGAAATATGTTTATATATTTTACAAAGTGTAAAATTAAATAAATAAATAAATAAAATCTTAATTCACTTTTTTATTTTTTAAGGATTTATTAAAAACTCATCTAATTTAAGAACTGAAGTTATTTATTATCGAGGTCAATTACCAGGTTTAGACAAAAAAAGAAAAAAGGCGACTTTTCCTCCCCTTTCGATTATGACGAAGAAAAATAGTGAAGAGTACAAAAGTGCCATTAGCTGTTTTTCTAAAAGAGGACGTAACTCCTCCGTGATCATTTTGCGGCATTTGGTTTGCATTTATGCAAACTTTCAAGATCCTCTATAGAAGCAACTTTAAAGGTAACACCGTCCTGGATAACGAGTGGCACAATGATATATTAAGTTTGTACGGGTATGTGCAACCTCCAGAAGGACATGAGATAAACCCAACTTTTCGTCCACCGATCGATTCAGAATCACGTTTGAAATCGATCTAGGTTTTGGTTGTCCATCACGTTTTCTTCTTTTTCAATCTGCTGTTTTTCTATCGCTATGATAATTTCTAAAAAAATTGTCGATGTACGCGTCGCCCTTTAGAAATTCATGAAAAAGGGCAATGTATGCAGCATGTTATGGTCAATACTTTGGATAAAAAATTTTCCGATAAAGCTTTCGGGCTTTTTTATACATATCATATAAGTTTTCTAAAAATTAAATTGCCCAGGAACTGATCAGGCTCAGCAAATACAGTTAAATCAATGGTGTCGTTAACGTTTACTAAGTTATTTTTTGTTGGAATTCTAACAGTTTTGAAAGATTTTAAATCAACATTTAGTAAAACTACATTTTACTCGAATAGTTTTAATCATTTACCTTTCGTAATCTGGCAAAGGCATTTGGCCCTGTCCCGTAACCTGCGCATAATCTGGAAGCTGTTCCTTTGTTGTACATGGCGAACCAGTTTGACGCCAAACACCGCCAGTTGGATCTATCCACACGCCGTTTGCGTTTAAAGGTAGCGTGGGGAATTTGCGTACAGCTCCAATTGCATGATTTCCTTAGATAGAACGGTATCAAGAAATTGGGTAAATAAGAATACATGTAGATTAAAAATTTAGCAAAGAAGACGCAGCACGATTTCTTTACATCCTGTGTAAACGCTATCTTAAGAGCGTTAAAAAAAAAAAGAATAAATTGTGCGTTGAAAAACTCTTTAGGAGAAAGTCCGAAAGGTTAATCACTTTTTTTGTGATTGGTAATAAAAAAAAAATGAAAAATTTTCCTTCAGATGCAGTGTAACGGTAATATATTCTTTTTTATTAATATTTTCAACCTCTTATCGTTTGGCAATACTTTAAAAATTGATGATGAATTATCGCGTCTGACGCGATACTGTCTCTCCGTATTTCTAATGTTGCATGATATCACTCCTTAAAAAATGATCACAATTGTTTAGATTCACTCATTCATTAACAAATAAGTTCCTTCTGATCACATCAGTTAATTTTAGATAGAAGAGCTCGGTTCCGAGTGTAACAATTTTTAGACGATTTTCATCGAAATTAGTGAAAACTACTATAAGGTGCACGCGAGTAAGAACAATAGTGACTGTAGGTGTTGTTACAGACGAACGTTACATTGCTTTGTAGTTTGCTCTTTTTGTCATAAATCGTGATATGAGAGTAATCTTCAGTTACGAGTGCGCCCTTATCCAATGGCAATAAAGCAGAGTGATTGACGTCAGCTCTACCTTACACATGAACAAAGGTCTCAAATAAACATCGGAAATCACTGTGAATGGGTGCATGATCGTTTAAGTGAAACCGTAGGGAAATGTTTTCTTTTACATATCATATTTAGTCCCGATTTCGTAATGCTGTCGTCGGCCGCGTCAGTTTTACGCATAATAAACTGCGATCGTCAAGGATCAACTGTGCTTAGGTAATATTGTACATAACATATTATAAAATAATACGTCTAAGGAGCTTTATGGAAGTACAGATAACGAAGAGTCCCATTCCCATAGTGACATTTAGATGGGTGTTTAGAGAATACTTAGAGAATTCGCTATTGATTGATCATGTATAGCAAATGAAGAAATTTCCTTTGACGCAATAAAAATAATTAAAATTAATGGAAAATTGTTTATTTTGCCTTTGAAAAACAAATTTTCCACAAACACATGTGCGCATAAATGCAAACTTACCGTGTAAGCTGCCTAATGATGTTTGCTTGATAAATTGATAACGTTTAATTAGGACCAAAACGCCAAACAGAAATACAATGATTGCTATAATTGAGCCCAGTAAAACGATAAACCATGTTTGTGTTAGAAAGTCATCGGCAATATCGCGATTGATGGGATATCTGAACACGTTGAGACGCATGCATATAAAGCCCCCAAACATACAAAGAGAATAGATAAAACAAAAGAAATCAGTATGATCGTATGTGTATGCATTTGTAGATATATATATATATATATATATATATATATATATATATATATTTTGTGCGTGTGAGCATGTTAGTGACATTAATAGGAATAACGAACGAACACACATTGAATTGTATTGTTTGTTGTATTGTTTTAAATCAATGTGCTGCCCTGATAGATATTAGGTATGCACAATAACTACAACGACAACAACAACAACAATGGCACTAACAAAAATTTTAGCCACAACCTCAACAATAATAATAATAGCAACAACAAATTAACGAACCTGGTGTAGCCAGTGTCCAATGATTGTGTACGTGGATCCATACGCAATATGGCTGGTTTACTGAATGAACCGACACCCACTTTTGTGGCTGCGGCCACAGCAATGTAGTATGTGACGCCTGTGGTGAGATTGGCCAACAATAGAGTCGGTGAGCTGGCATCAATTGTCATGTTTTTGTAGATACGTGTGGTATTATGTGAATCCAGGCCTTTGACAATAACATTGTAGCTGGTTAATACGCCTGCATGTCATGCATACGGAGAAAGAGAGAATAATAAATTACTTTTGATTAAGTTAAAAGAGAATAAATTCACAGAAAAACTCAATAACAAAGACATGGAAATGTACAAAATTTTATCCATTCATTTATTTATTTATTTATTTAGTATTTTTGTGTTTTTTTTTTTTTTTCTTTTCTTTTGTTTTTGAACAGAAAAAAATGCTAATGCTTTAATGTTACGCACCATTACGTGTTTTGTTCGGATAGGGTGGCTGCCATTTTAAAAACACAGAGCTGCGATTAAACTGTATAGCCTCCATGCCATAAGGTGGCGATTCCGGAACTGTACATAAAAGATAATTAAACCAAAGATTATTTAAATTTTTTTTTTTTTAAATTTAATGTGCTCTCATACATATAAGCTATTTAAAAGCTTTACTAAGGGAATATATAAAAATATGAGTGATTTTCTATTTCACACATCTACTTTATACGTTGCTCTTCCCCATCTTCATCAAGTTTTATCCGTTTTAACTTACCATCCTCCATTGTTGTGGCATAACGTGCGTTAGATGGTTTTCCTATGACGCTCTTATAAAATGGCACAAGAAAAAACTCATATTTGCTGGCTTTCTGTAAGCCATTCACTGTGCAAGCACTGGCACCACCGCCTGCGTTCAATACCGTCATCATTTTGTATTCGGCTGAATGCAGTTCACGTGCATATATGTAAAAGCCTTCAATGTATTGGTCACTATCAATATCCCATGCTAGTCGTACGGTGGTGGAATCGGAAGCATTTGCTTCCAGCAATTCAATGACATCATTTGTTTGCAGCAGAGTTTCCACTTCGACAAGCATAACATCATCTCGCCCACTACGTCCGTTGTTGTTGCCAGCACTACCACGGTGTCCTCTCTGTATCAATTGCCCAGCAGTAATTGGCTCCGAAATGGGTGAGGGAGGCGAGAAGCCCAATGCATTCTCAGCTCTTACAATGAATATATATGCTGCACCATTTGTCAATCCATCAACTGTGTAAATAGGCTCAGTCAATCGTGACGCAATTGGTATCCAAGTTTTGCTTTTGTTTGTCGAGAACATTTCTACTGAATAGCCCAGCAGCGGTGAGGCACCTGCCTTATCGCTTGTAGGCCATACAATAGTTAAAGCATTAGCAGAAGCATTTAATACTTTCGGTTGGCCAGGCGCGGAGGGGCATTTGCTTTGCTCGGGTGCCCTGTAGAATTTTATGTTAGGATTTGTTGGCACTTCTATGCGCAGATAACCACTCCATGTGGATTTGCCTGTGCGACTACTTGCCACACATGTGTAAAGACCTTGGTCTTGTTGTCTATCCAAGTCAGAAATTATTAAATCGCCTGCACTGGTAATGTTAATCTTTACACTAGGATGTACTGGTATACCATCTCGAAACCATGAGATAGTGGGATTAGGTAAACCAATTGCTTTACAATGTAGTGTAGCCATAGATTTGACGGGTAGTGTTTGATTAACTGGTCCCATTATTATGATAGGTGGAGGTCGATCCTCTTGTGAGTCTAATGTTAATTGAGCTCTTGTTGTTATGGTTGCCACTTCATTCATGGCGTTACAAACTATCACCAAATCTTTGTCACTACGATCAAACTTGGTCAGAGTTAATATTGAATGACCATCTTCGGTGTTTATACTTTGAAATCTATCTAATGGAGGTGCTCCGGGAAATATAATTGATTTGTTATTTTTAATGGTCCAAAATATGGTGGGTCTGGGATTACCGGTAGCACGACATTCAAATGAGGTATCGGCACCTAATTCTACAGATTTACTCGTAGGACGTTGTATAAATTTTGGTGGTGCTATGTGACGGAAGCAAAAGTGTGGAGTTCAATTAGTACAGGTGAACTACACGACTAGCGTTTAGATGACGAGCGGAATAACTACAAAGAAACTACTACATACCATAAACTGTTAATGTCCCCATAGCCGATATAGCACCTACGACATTGTCAGCTTCACAACTATACTCTCCTTCATCAGCGACGGTAACGCGTTCCAAACGGAGACTACGGTCTTCTAAAACGCTTACACGATCTACAAAAATACAAAAAGTTAATGAATGTACAGCTAGTCTGAGCTATTTTTTAATATGTGGAAGAAATAAAAGAATATATCATAGTAAGATTAGTCAGTGGTACCTTATTTGAAATAGTTATCCGAAAAAAACTAATCTTCCCGCATGATACTAATCAATCCATTTGAAGACTTGTGAATTATTAAATAGTTTCGTTCGCTCTACCCAATTCATTATATGGGAATGAATAGAAATGTGAACAAGAACTTTAGAAAAAGTAGCCTGGACATCAATATTTTAAAGAAATCAATACATGCAAGAACATGTAGACCACCATATAGGATGCAGCCTTGCCGCAGGAAACTTACAAATTATTTAGTAGAGAAATTTCAAAACAACAAGCCAATATACAACTTCAATAAAACGTTTTCGAAGATGTAAAACAACAGTATCGTAATTATCCTAATTAACAGCTCAATATACAACTGAGCTGGTGCTTGACCTTCTCTATAGTTCTTTAGCAGGCCCTCAGCCCCTTGCATGAATTTCTGTTACACACCTTCAACTTATTGTCTGAAAGTGCCAATCCCGCTTTCGAAACCGCGAGCAAGAGAATAAGCTGTGTGTTCAATTACCATGTTTCCGATTTTTGGATTACAACATCCATACGATAACAGTGCTATATAGCTCTCATACCAGACAGACTGTCATTAGTAAATTTAAAATGCTTATGTTCCTTTAGAAGGACCTATCTAAAACACGCGGAACGGTAGTCTTAATAATATTTTTTCATTGTTCGTAGCCCCTGGAGGTCAATCAGAGTGAACGAAACTGTGGTAACTGTGGTTACCTCTTGGAATCCTACGCAATTTTTACACTGTTCATATGCGTAAGTTTTTTGTTTAAATGGATCGCCGTATGTCTTATGCAATAATTTTAGGAAATTTGCCAGACAAAGTTTTCTTCAACAAACGTAAAATTTAGGGCAAAATCATCGTTGGGAGGAGTCCGTTTATAGTTATCGTTAACCGGAAACTCAGCTTTCAACGTGCTTAGCGTCCTCTTACATTGGACTTCACAGCACGTCGCATTACACTACGTGCCATTACACTAATACAGTACGAAAGCAGGGGTCCTGTACGCACCATATAATGATCGTCAGTGAAAAACTTCATAAACTACTAAGCGTTTAATTGCGTAAGTATTGTATCGTCGCTGATTGAACTAAGGTAAATAACAAAAACAATTCTTAGTTATTATAAGGAGGCAAAAAAAAAAAAAAAAAAAAATCAAGATTATTCCGTGACATTTATTATATATTCTTTTGACGACCTTATTCCCGAAAATGTATCAACTAAAGCAAGTTAGAGTTTTTGTGATATTTGAAGATTAGATCAGCATTAGGTGCGCTAGCTACAATTTAAGCTCAAGTAAGCAAAAGGCTGATAATTTTACAAAAAATCCAGCATCGCCGCGCACTTATTATTATATTATGTCTCTTTATGAAAATCTGTGTAATGATGCTTGATGCTACATTTATAAAGTAGTCGCCCGCAATTCGCGTTCAAGAAAACAATGCTACATATTGCCTAAGGTTTCAGAGCTAAGCTCACTAATATCTGTCCTTAATGATAAACCAGTTGCTTTCATCAAAATTAATTAAATATGGTTGCTTACGATCGACGCATAAAAACGTAGAGTCTGTGACTGTGTGACTAGAAAGCGGGTCTTTCTTAAACTTTCCCTACAAACTTGCTTTCGTACTTGCCAAAGCCAGTGGACTAGTTACCTTTACTTGCCAACTTGTATCAAAGGAATCGAGTTTCTTTTGTCTTTTGGAATGAGCTTAAGAATAGACACTCATCTAACTAACATTTTAGAAAGCTTCTTATCAATTAACTCACCTGACAGTTGTTTTACTGTCGAGTTGACAGAATAGTGACCGCAAGGGATGCAATTACGCTTAACTAACTAAAGCGTTTGATAAAATGGTCATAGAAAACGTATTTCAATAATCACATTTCCCTTAAATCCGCAACAATTAATTTTTCCTTTTCGTGTATTATCTCTCAATCATTTCTTTGTTTAACAACTAAATTTATTCTTCCTTGAAATTATTCACAACCACACAAAAGCAATCGATCTGTTATTGAAATATTCAACTAACAAATCGAAATATTAATCGCAATTATATTGCGGTTTATACAGATTTTGATAAAGTCCTTAAAACTTAATATCGACTTTGGCTTAGTGCGTTATATGTCGCAAGGCAAACGATTGTAGCACAGAATACAGAACACACTTAACCTAAATAGTTATAATTGCACTTACCTAATGGCATATTGCCACCAGAAGCCGTACGCAACCATAAAACATCAGGCATTGGATCGCCGCCAACACGGCAAGGAAACGTTACAGAGGAACCTTCTAAAACGGTTTGATCATGAGGGCCCCGTATAATAAATGGCTTAACTAGAAAATTACAATAAAACAAAACGTAAGAATATCATAAAAGAAATCATTCATTCAAGTTGAAAACCGAATGCAATCTTGTTCTACGTGTGCGTTTGTGTGTATATTCGTGTGTGATTGGTAAAGAGATTTATACCGTTGGGAATGGCAATAAATTAAATGAAGCACTTATGATATAAAATCTAAATGACATTTGAAAACAAATTTGTATGTACTTACTGTGAACCTTTAATGTGGCTGTTTTTGATTCTCGTATGCCAACCGGATTTTTGGCTACACATTGATATTGACCCTCGTCACTTTGACGGGTATCCTGTACGGCCAGATTTCCACCATCAACCAAACGTATGCGTTTTGACGATTCCAAGTCTAAAATTTGGCCATTCTTCTTCCACAATACCGCCGGTTCGGGGATACCACGGGGTGCAGCGCATTCCAGTAATGCTGTATCACCTTGTGCTATGCGTGTGTTTTGAGGTTCTAAGCGAAAGTCATCACGCAATACTAAAGTAAAAAAAAAAAAAACAAGAATAGAAAACCAAAAGAGAATAAACAAAAAGTGAAAGTATATTGTTGCTACAGAATCATAGATAGGTAGAAAGATTTTCTTATGTATACAAAATTGACGCGTGACGCACAATAAGTTTATGTCTGCGCTTAAGAGATTTAGAAAAGTAATCTAAGATTTCATATTTTTTGTATTCGTTTGTGAAAAACAAAAAATCTTTTCATGATATTTTTTTTTTTCTTTTGTTTTTGCAAAAATCTAGAAAACTTTATTTATTTTTGTTGTATTATTTTTCTTTTTAATTGTAAGACGCGGGCGCAGTTGTATTTGCCAATAAAATTAAACTTAATAAGTTCTTAGTAATGTCTGCACGCATATGAACATTGGACCGACCTTTACTTGCTTAATTGCGCTTTAGCCGTATCCCATAAGTTTTACGCTTTAGCAGATTGTGATTAGGTGGGATTGTCCCCCTTTTTTCTGGATAATGTAACTTGCCTACCCATAATAACGCAATGTTTTCATGCGTTTGATTTAATTCGTAGAACAGAGAGAATGCGTCGCCTGAGGAAGAAAGTTGATTGTCTCATAAGTTTCCCTGGACATCGAATATTTATTGCGATTACCAAGATCGCAAGTTCGTTTTGGTTACGTATTTCCAAGTGTAGGAGTATGTTCGTTAGTGTTACGCTGTGACATCATATTGGGAAGGTTACGATTATAGGCACCAATTTTTTTAAGGGAGATTCTCTGAAAATGGTTAATGACATGTGCTCTCTTCTTTATCGAAACGGCAGCAAAGCAGCAAAATCTCTGTTTTACAATTACACGCAGGAGTTAGGAGCAAATTTACCAAGCCAATAAAGTTAATAAACTGGAAGTTGAGAGTAACACTAGCGTGCACTCAATTTAAGGCCAATTTTAAGCGGATATGAGAGTTAGGAGCTGATGCCACAGTCATTGCAAATGTGTACCTTGTACACGAGTTCTTTAAAAAGATGTAATAGTTAAAATAAAAACCAATAGGATAATCGTGTGAGAAAGGATCAATAGGTCAGAGACGTAAGTTTAGATTTATAAATTAATGAAGAGAATGACTGATTATAGCGTGTCTTATAATTGTAGTTTATAATTACAAATCAGAGGCAGAAAGACGATTTATTAAATAGGAGGACGTCGTATTTTTGTTAATAAAATCCTTGGGATGAAACTATGGGATAGTACTTTACCAGATCTATGAAACTGGCAAAGAAAACAACATAAGCAGAAAATCGCAAACTTTACCAATTCATTCAAAAATTCCAGCTTTTCATGAACGTCAATAAGCGATTCGTCAATAGATAAATTTAGAGGCAAATTAATTTCAATTAACTGTAAATTGTAATCTGTAAAGTAATTGTGAGAATGCCACAAAAATGTGGCCACAAACCGTGTGAAGACTAATACTATCCACAAATCGTGTAGATATTTGAACAATGACCCCATTTACGTGTCAACGGGAGACTTAGCGAATGATATCAGAGGGATTTTCTTTCAACTTTTTTTTTAAATATGTCATATTCCTTCTGATTAAGAAATGGAATAAGAGTTAATTTTTTTTTGTTAACAATCTTAAGGAGTTGTCAGTGCAGCTTATACATTTCCATTTTGCGTAGTATTATTAAATTGAAAAAAATTTATACATTGATTGCTCAAAGTTCATTTCTTATTCTTTGCATTAAAATTCTTTAGCCACTAGATTATGTTTATGACTTAAAGTGACGACAACATTTTCATTAGGTTTCTTCTTTTTTTTTTTTTTCAATACATTTACTTTAATCAATCATTAAAACTATGATAAACACTTTTAGATTTTTAGGTTTCTGATGATTTAATACTAATTTATTTCTCTCTCATAAATTAATAGGCATTAATGACGGTTGTCATCAATAATAACTAAGAACATTGGACACCCGGCATTACCCGTTACTACAATAATAATAATAATATTTGATTGTGTGTGTTCTTTTGTTAGATAAAGACCTCAAGATGTATAAGGCTAGCAACTATACTAGCAAAACAAACTATACATAGTTATATACTTATAACGAGAGACAGTCAGAAAACATTCATAGCATTATGTACTTCGTTCAGTGGAGTTTGGCCTCGCAATACAATAAAAGCGACACTAGAATGTAGACAGTATTTCAGTTATAACACTATCCCAGCATGGCACCCAAGAAAATGAATCTTGTTATTTTCATTCTTTTTGTCTCTATTTTGATTTTCATTTTACGCTTTTTTCTTTGCTGTTTGTGTTTTTCTTTAATTTCATTTTTTCTCATTTTCATTCCGTACCATTTCAGTTCTTATCGAATAAGTTTCAAGGCAATACTGTGCTGTAGCATACATAGCACACAGACCCTCATTTCTATTATATAAGTTCAATGTTGAAAGTTGTTGTACAATTCATTTATATATAACAATGTCAACGACGCAAATGCTTGGAGAAAATGTCTGGCTATTACGTATTATGAAACAGGAGTAGAATGTGGGTGATATGGTCAACGCATTGAAAATCAAATATAATGTGTTTGATAAAATTGCGATTGTGTGCAGACGCCGGACCCAATCCGGAAGGGGGGGCAAATGTCTAGCGGCGTTAAGCATGACCGACTGGTTAATATTGAAATTGTTGTCAAATATTAAAAGAATTTTTTTACAAGGTTTCTAAAGCAATGTAGAAATTATAGAATTCAATATGTTTTGCAGGATCTAAGCGATTTTAGTGGAATTTTTATATATACAGTCTTTATATTTGAAAGTCTTTCTAAAGTCGTTATCTTCTAATGGCCAAGCAAACTTTTACTGATTTTTCCCTTTTTTTTTTTATTTATTTCTTCTTTTTTATATATCTGTCAATGATTTAACATTCGTTGCAATCCGATAGGGTCCCTTTTTCTTTATGCATAGTACGGTTTAATACAGTTACACGTAAGGAAACATACAATTGCACTAAATGGTCCTTAGACAGACATTATTGTAATTGATTTTTCTGGTGTAAAAATTTAATCATCGTTTAGACATTATTCTTACGCTACTTGGTGTCTCACCCCACTCATCTCTCGCACTCTCATAAGTATGGTTGTACTTACGTATGGTTTAAAATGACTTTCCCCAAATAATGTCTGGCTTTAGTGTCTGGTTTTAGTTCTTTTATATCCTTCCTGCTTCCATCTGCTTTATCGTTTATCGGTTTACTTTAGTTTAGCAATACATTATCACTGTCAAGTTAACGTTTAGTCTGTCACACAAATAATGTTTTATAATTGCATGTAGAAGGAAGAAGAGAGTGAAGAAGAAGAAGAAGAAGGAAAAGAGTTTGTAGCACGCCATCTATGTAGTAATCTAACAAGTAACCTGTGTGTTGTCTCGCTTTACATGTGTGGCTAACACTTACGTAAATGCGATTTACATTCAAAAAAAGTTAACTTTTAAACATAAATCAATCTTAAATAGTTTTTCGTTGTTCTTCTTTGTCTTTTCTGATTCTTAACATTTCAATTTAATCTCTTTCTTCAGAGCTCTACCCTTAACTTGAGGTCGATCGATATCTTGATGTTTTCCAAATTCATTTCATTTCAGGTTTTTTTTTTGCTTATACTATTTTTGTTTTCCTAACAATCATTTGCAATTGTGCTTGGAGAGAAAGTTAATATTCAACTTTAATTACTTTAGCTTTTTGACTTTTTCTTCAATTTTTTTTTTTTTTTTTTTTTTGCTTTTTATGTAATATTTTGCTTGATTTTATGCTGCAGTTGACTTTCGTTTGAAAAAGAGTAAAGTTTTTGACATTAATTAACGACTTGATTTCAGATTGTTTCTGGATGTATGTATATACCACGTTTGTACTATTTGGAAATGCATTTCATATTCGTTTAGTGTTTGCAGTTAACTTTTTCAGACATTTCTATGGTATCGGTATATACATATATAGCCTTTGATGAATTGTTTCTTTCGTATTCGAAACTAATTTGAAATGAACTTTTTAAAGCGATTTAAAGGCCTTTGTACAATTTGAAGAAAGCGGTCCTTTTTTTTTTGTTCTTGCTTAATACGCTTTTCCAACATACGCAAAAGTAGTAATTGACGCGAAATGTGAACATTTTTTATTGGCTGAATTAACGTTTCTCGTTTCATACCCGATTTTGTTTCCACTTCAGTCACAAATCCGCCAAAGCAGTCTTTCAGCACATTTTATAACATAACAGTTGGCGAGTTATCGTTCACTAGTAATTTAGATTTTGGCAAAGTCTTCGAATTTTTCCTTTTACTAAATTGTTTGAAATAATGAGCCGGAATATATTAGCTCCGCCGTTGGTGTATATAAGTAACAATCGCAGCTACCGGGTGAATTTGGTTCATGAAGATTTTAACGATCAACGCCAAGCTTCCCAGGCCGCAATGAAGAGCAATCTTCACAACGCTAAGCAAGCGAACAACGAACGAGATTTATATGGGGAACAACATAACGACGAAATAGATGATGATCTAAGTGACATTGAATGCCAAAACTCGATTTTTAAGCTGAAGATACACGTAGCATCTTCATTTTATGGCGGTCTTATTGGTTTTAAGGGTGCGACTAAACGCCGTTTGGAAACCGAAACGTCAACTGAAATAATGATACCCCTCGCGTCGCTGACAAAGGGAATAAAAGTCGCGAAACTAATGTCGTAATTACAGGCAAAATTCGAAATGCTGTCGCTACCGCTAAACATAAAATTGATGTATTGGTGGCCTCATTGCGAGGTCGAATGAATGCTACGCACTTTTATGGAGTAGCCTTAAATTATGATGAAATACTTGAGAATTTTCAAGTTTTCAAAGAACTAATTTTGTCTGCCCAATTACCCAGCATTGATGAAAGTTTATTTCAACTTGACTCAAGTCTTCATGCCACTCTTGGCGCTTGTGTGTTTGTGGATGACGTAGAACGTAATAAGGCTGCCACAAT